GGGGTTGGAATAGATGACCCACAGAGGTCCCTTCCAACCCCGAACATTCTGTGATTCTGTGATACCATTTCATGTTGGAAACAAATTATCACAAAGAAATCCCCTTCAGTTGCCTGCCACTTAATTGACTGAAAGTGTAAGCTCACAGAATGAAATCTGTCAACATGACAACATGATTAATTTATTTTCAGTTTGTTTACAGAAGCACAGATATAATGTGATAAGGAAATAGTAACACAATCTGGGTGGCAATATAAAAGCTGTTGCATAACTCAGACCCAGGAATATTAGGAGACCAACAGAATGAATCAGAAGTTGCAACAGAAAATAAGTTTTGAGTTAAAGCATACTCAAGTTAGAACATTCTAATTTGGGTAACATGCAGGTTGTGATAACATCCGAAGTTACATTAATAGGAAATCAGTTTCAAAACACCTTAGTAGCCACAGAGATGGCTGTATATTGTATATACATATACCTGTACATTCACATTTGTGTTTGTAGACAGACAAATTGTGGGCATACTTACAGATACCTTGTTATATATTTAGAAAGTCTTCTCTGTTCATTACAACAAACGACACTGTACCTGTATGGCTTCGAATATGAACTCTCAGTGTTCCATTGCTTGCAAACTTCTGTCCACAGTATGGGCAAATCTTCTCTTTTTCTCCTGTGTGAGTCTACATGGGGTGGGGACAGACAAGAATGAAAGCTTCAGCATAGCTGTGAAAGAAGTGAAATATGGACTATTTTAACTGTATTCACATTGATCACTTTTATCTCTGTTACATATTTTATACTAGCACATCAGGCAGAGATTCTTAGGAATTAGCTATAGGTGTCCTTTCCATTTTCTTCCAAAATTTCTAAACAAATCTCATTATTAATGGCAAAATAAACTGGCTTTTCAGTTCCTAAGTTTACTGTTTCCTAAACAGTTACTCTTAAAAATGTCCAATTCACTTTTGTGTATTTTCATGATTGCAAGACACATATTTTTCAGTTTGATAACTGTGATAGTGGTTTCTAAATCAGGAAAGAGTAATTTGGTTACCTAATAAAATTAATCTTCATAAATGGATCTGTAGTGAAAACAGTTTACCGTTATAACCTAGTATAACTTATCCTGTTGCAGACTTGAATCGGAACTTTAAAAGGTCTCTGTGGGGATTTGTGAACATCATTTCTGACTGTCTCATATGAACGAAACATGGCCATCAGTTCAGCTTAAGTATGGCAGACAACAATCCTTCACAGTGCAAGTTCTCAGTGGTTTCAGTCAACACAAATTGCATACTGGATCCTACCCAGTTTGTAACAAATGCTAGAATCAGATTGCATTTAGAGAATTGATCATGAGAAATACATTGTAACTGTCACTAACACTAAACCATACACTGAGCTTGGCTCTTGAAATCAAGTTTTTAAGGCACTTTGCTGATATGTGGATTATTTCAAAATGGAAAAACAAAACAAAACAAAAAAATCAATCTTCCAATTCTGAACCGAAGATTTATCAGTCTATTGAATATTCTGTCCTTGTAACTGACTGCTTTTAGTGGAGAATTTTGGATTACTTCATTTATAAGTGTTATTTTAAATGGGATAGGAACAATAACATTAAATTGTATACAGCTGACTGGGTTTCAAGCTTTTGCGCATGACTTTTCAGATTGGGAAATTAATTCTTATTTTTATAAAAGACATTGAAGTGACATAAAATTCTTCATTACATCATAAAAAACTTATGTCACATAGTACATATGCTGCAGCTGACGGAAGAGTAAATGAGATCATTTCAATACTGGATGGACTTGCACAGTTTTCATTCTGTGACATTAGGGATATGAATGTTAAATCCCTTTTGATTAGGATAGAATTCTTTAGAAATCACTTATACCTCTAAACAGCAACAGTGGGGGGGGGATACCAGATAGAGCTATTAATTCCTTTCAATCACAAAAAAAACCCCATTCCAATCACAAAAAAAAACAGGAAACTATTTTCTGGCAACTGTAATCATTACATAACTCAATGCACATTAAATATGAGACAAGCAGTATTTAAAACTGACTGAAGGCAGACAGACAGCAAATACATTAACATACATTTAATGGAAGATCAAGACCTTTAAAAGACCAGGAAAGAAACCAAAGGGACTTTGGTTCCTGGTTGGTTCCATTACTTTTTGTAATCTGTAAACACGTCAAGAATCAAACACGCATTAATGAGACAGCGCTGTCCATTACACTAGAGAATTCAATAGCCTGTTGTCTGCCGATAACTTGGTTTAGGCTCCAAAGACACTTACTAGTTCCCACACTTCTAACACACAGTAGGGTTGGCAAGACCTTGAAAGACTCCCTACATCTTTTCCTCAATTTTAAATATAGATTTGTGTTGTAATGAAGAGTACTCGCCATAATCATGTGCTGAAAATATTGTACCAAGTAACTCAATCACACTCTGTTTTGTTACTAGAATTTTACATGTGTATATGAAGTGCATACTATATGGCAAATAATATATGCACAATGTTTTTCAACAAACTCACAAGCTGCATTTTGTGGCTACACCAAAGCTGATTTTCCTCAGCTGATTCGTTCTTGATTCAATTATTTTCTTCGTATTTCTTCCCTGTAACATAAATCTTACCTCAGACCAAACCAGCAAGCAAGCTTTTTTCTACAGTTTACCCCAATTCAATTGCAGAGATTGGTGGAAAGGAGTATGGTAAGAGCAGTGTAGCAAGTCCTGTTCTGCCACACACCTGACGCTGGAGTACCTACTCTGGATTTACATATATGAATCCGCTGCAGATTCTGTACGCCACCAATAATCCCACTACTGCAAGAAGCATTTTAGGATGTGAAGAACGATCACAGCTTTCTACTGAAAAGCCAGAAATGCAAAAGCATCTGGGAAACTTGTGTTTAGTGATAACCTCATGGACACAGAAAGAATTCATATGATAGAACTGTCTCTACTCACTTTTTTATGACTCTTCAGGACTGAGGGTGTCACAAAAGCTTTGTCACAGAGATCACACTTGTATTTCTTATGTCCATCGTGTACAACTTGAATATGAACATTTAACGTGTCCTTTCTTTTGAAAGTAGCATCACAGTGATCGCACTTGAAGGTCCTCTCACCTTATAAAGAGAAAAACAAGATTTAAAGATTTTTGTGGAAATACACTAATGTTTCTTCTTTCAGAAAAATGAATAAAAGCAGCAAAGACAAATGAAAATCTGGGTCCTAAGAACAAGAAAAGGAACATCACATCAGGTAAAACTGTCACTGAAAAATTAATAAAATAGTCATGACAAAAATGTAGCCAGAAATGCGAGATTAAAATCTATAGTCAAAAGTGAAACAGCAGCCAGTGGAAATGGCTTCCAGTGAAACAGAGCACAGGTTTTGTCAGCACCTCCAGTAACAGACTCTCTTTATGGTAACAAGGAAAAATATGAAATAGGCTTCATTTTTTGAAACTTAAATGGTAAGAGACATCTTCCTGAATTTAAAAGAACTCTCAAAATAAGAAATATTTGCTTTGAGTAACCCATCACATTCACATCAATAGAGGCAAATCCATATGACAAAGATGAAATAACTTTTAAGTGTTATAGCCCTATTACTATCCAAACTGTGGTGAGGTTGTTGAAGGTTATGGCAGAGGCCAGGTTACTATTGCTAATAGTTTTAAAATTCAATGAATTACCTAAGAGAGGGGAAGAGACATTATATTCGGAAAATCTGCACACATCTTTTGAGAGAAAAAAAAGACGTGATTATTCAGCAAAATCATTACAATGAACCTTCTCCTTATCACTACTGTGAATGCAGAAGAGAATATTCTCTTCTACTTGTTAACTGCTTGATTAAAATTGCAAGTTAAACACCTGTAACGTGGCATTCATTCAGAAATCCACAGTCTAAACTGGAAATCAGCTGCCCATATCCCAGAAAAACTGTCCAAGCAGTGACATCACAAAGAAAGATCACCATAATCTAAGGACTATCCTCCACTTCATTTTTTTCAGGGCAGAGGTCTGATCTGCAGCCTCCAGATCCCTATGAATAAAATATGGACTTGTATAAGCACAAGCTACTTTTCCAGTAGCAATAATGCACATGTAGAGGTACACTTATGTCCCTGGTACAGCTCATTAAAGGATAAAATCATGCCAGCTTCGGTCCCAGTGCACAGGCCAATATGAATGGAAATTGACTTCAGCACACTACATATTAAAAGCCCATTTGATGCTACATGTTAAAGCACCAAAAATCTTTTTTCTTTGTTATACATTACACTTTAATACATATAAATGACGCTTACCAGTACAGTGGTGCCTCAAGTACTCACACACATTCCAAAGCCTAGATAACCTGTTTCTCTCCCCCATAAATTAACCATAATTGCCCACCACCCCAAACCTCTCATTCTCTGTTTATTTGGAAATAAAAATGGTTTTGTCTTGGATGACACAAGAAGAATATGCTAAAAGGTATTAGAGTATAAGCTGTCTTATCATGAAATATTTTCAGTGTAGCTATTCAGAAAAATTTTCAAGGTCAACTGGGATGCAACTTAATATGCTGTTTTGTAGATGTTTAACACTGACAGTGCACCTAACTGTTCAGTGAATCACTTTAGTCCTCATCTTGGGAACACGAGACTACCCTGCTAACAAAGTGGTCATTGCTATTTTTACTGAAGTAACACGCAATTTCTTACTGCTTCAAAGCAAAAATATTGAAGTAATTTTTTTTGAAAGTCACTTCCCATACGAACTTCTAGGCTTCACGGATTTTTTTTTCAGTCAGTCATTTGTTTCTTTCCATCTCTAAATAACTTAGCTCCAAGGCTGAAAATAAATTAAAAAAAATGAAGCAATACTAGACAATTCAAACCAATTACCATGTCTTCTGAAGTAAGAAATAATTCGTATGGTTTCCATAAATTTACATGATATCATTATGGCTTAAGACACAATTTGACATTTGTTGAGTTTCAGGAGGATTTGTCCTTTTTATCCTAAAGTTCTGTTTGTAATCATTCCTATCATTTTCAGTACTGCTCTTGTATCATGATTTGAGAAGATAAATGGCTTTCAGAAAACAACAGAAAATAAGGTAGTAAAAGATCAACCAGTTTTCAAATAGAAAACCTCCAAAGTCAGGGAATTTCAGAACCAACATACTGTTCAATCATATCTCCTCTGTGTGTACACATTATAATACTCTTCAATTATGCAGAGCTGCAATACCAGTATGTATTTAGTCAAGTCCTGGCTTTAGTTTAGCAAAGTTTTTCAACATGCAAAGTAATGGGAAGCCTAGAATTGGGTATTTTTTCAAGCGTTATCCTGGATGAAGGCAAAAAATCAGTGTTTCTCCTCAGCTTCCTCCTTTAGCAGAAACCCTGTATCTCATTATAGAAGAGCCATCAGGACAGTCTCCATCCATAGTTGATTCACTGAGCCCTCTTTCTGTCTTTTTTTTTTTTTCTTTTAAGCCATAGACAAAGATACATGAAAACTTAATTAAAAAGTAACAATAATACACAAGTATGGCAGGAGTTTCAGAAGGTTCCTCAACAGCGTAAAGCAAAAATCTAAATCCCTTGCAAAAGATATGAGCACTAAAACACCTTGAAGCAGCTCTGGAAATCCTCTTCTAGAAGACTTCAAGAAAAATCAAGACCTATGCAACCTATTTCATGAAACCTCACTGTTATGATAAAAGAACACAGATTTCATATGGTAAATGTAAGAATTTGCCTGTTGCTTAAGTACAATCACTGCCAAAAAACAAACTCTTTCCACTGGCTTTGACAGATAACAGTGACATTAAAGTCACCAGATAAATTTCTAATATTAGCGCTTAAGAAATAAAGAAAGAACTTCCATTATGTAGTTTTAGTCAACAGGTTTGCACTGTGCTAGATCAAGAGGTTTGTTATAAATTGAATAGCAAAAGATATACATAGATTCTCTTCAAGCCTTGGCATTATAGAGAATGAAAGTAAACAAGAAAGTATATCATTGACTTCAGCTTTTGAAACCACTGAAGAAGGGAAACTTTTTCAAAGTACTTGACATGAAACTAAGATATCAATATCCACAAATGACTCCAAAGATGGAAAGAGAGCACTGACATAATATATTCTACAGTACTTTCCATCAGAAATGTACTCTCCTTATGACAAAATAAGGTAACAAAAATCAGGGCTACTTGTGCTTTACTTGAAATAAGCAATCTTCAGTGCCCACTTCTGCTGGCCCCTGTAGCAGGAGCTAATTAGTATTTCTCTTATTAACAAACATTCTGCATGTAGATTTTTTCTCTAGAAAGCAAATGTACAAAAAGGATGAGGTCCTTCTAAAACAATGCAATCCTGTTCATGCATGTCTCTACAACCCTAGACAATTCAATGATCCAAGAAAAAATGCTCTGGCTTACTCATTCTTGTCTTACAGCCTCATGAGCTAGTATAGCCAAGTATGAGCTACCATACACCCACCATATATCATACAGCCTTCCTGAACACTACAACTGAGAATGAAGGGTTAGCCCCAGCATTGCCAATGACATAATGAAAACAGTTATTAAAAGCATTATCAGCAATATGCCTAAGAAAAATCTTGTCTGACACTCAGAAGACAAGTTACATTTACACAGCTAGAACCCTGGAGAAAAAATTTTAGATTTTTTTTAATTATTTGTTAGACATATTTTATCTTGAAGTTTGAAAGTTATATCCATGATGTATATATTTCCAATGTCAAGACACGAACACCTGAAAAGTAAGTTTATGAAATATGATTTTTTCTAGTAAATTAAGTTTGTAAAATAAAATTTAAGTCCTTCTACATCATTCTGCAGAGTGACTGCTTCTAAAACAAGGGGATAACGAATTTTTTAAAAAAATATATGATGTAGGCTGAACTTCAATTTTTCCTAGAAGTTTCAAGCTTCACAAAAAATTTTCTGTTTCCTACAGCACAAAACAGTAGAGCCAGCTAAATACATCTAGAGATTGTGGTTTGTTTACCTCCTTTCTTTTATAGAACAGGTATATTTCAGTGCTATGAGTGGGACTATCATCCAGTTGTAGCAGGACAATGCCTACAATTCTGAGTTATTTCAAATATGAGAAACTCATTATCATGGCAGCACAACTTGTCAGTCTCAGAGTTAGGTCATGAGGGGAAGAGTTCTACATTTCTTCACTGGGAACACAAGCTCTTCTCAGGTAACAGCAGAGCCCTTGTTTTAATCACAGCCTTGAACTGAAAACTGTTTATTCTTCAGTTCATCCTAGTAATGACTTTCACTTTGCTATTGGTCTGTAAACACTTCTTTTATAGGACTCTACAGACAAGAGAGATGCATTATGACTATAACAGTTTTGCTTATATTCTGCTGTATTAAGGCTTCCTTGTTAAGCTGGTCGGCTTTTGGGTTTGGTTTTTGTTTGGTTGTTTTTTTTTTTTTAAGAAAAAAGGTTTAAGTCTTCCCTGTGATTAATAAAAGTAACAAATATCAGTTTAAGGTTTTGACTCATTTCTGAGTCAGTTTTAGCTAAAATGGCAGAAGCTACCACCTTCAAACACCTACTCTGTCCTTCAGCAAGACATGTTGCCTTTCGCACCAAGGAAGACTGACTACACAATGTTGGTGCCGCTGCAGTTCACAGTCTGATATTTTTAATATTTGATTAAATAGTGGTGGTTCATGGACAGCTAAACCTGCCGCAAATCACAACCCTAACTCAAATATCTCAAATTTCCTGAGCTCCCATCCTCTTAAAAAAAAAAAGTCAACGATATGTTTTTAGAGAGAGACCTTTACCAAGGCCTACAATTCTGCGTACTGTGAATTACTGCTTTTGGATATTCTGCAAACGCTTGGTTCATTAGAATACACATTACTAAGCAGGTTTTTCCCTCTCCCCCCCCCCATCATTTTAACATTGGAAAAAGATTTTAAAAATTCATTGCTTTATGAAGTTGCAGAAGCTTCAAAAAATAATTATAAAAGAACAAACTAAATATGCCAGTCTAATAATCTAACAGAAATACTGTCATGTGGGATTATTAAAAAAAAAAAAGGTTTGTGGTTTTTTTAATTATACCAATATAAATATTCCCCAAATCAAGGTACTGTCTCTAAGCTACAAGGATTTTAGATCATGACTATTTTCTAAAATCTAAATTGCTGACATTCACAAGGTTGAATGGTAGTCTAGAGCTCTAAATTTTGGAGAAAATTCCACCAAAAATAAATCTTCACACAGTTAAAAAATAGTACAGAATGCCAAGATCAAGTTACTCATGAGGGAAAATGGCCACAGCATTTCTCTGGGCTGCTAGTTCTGTGCCAGAGGCAGGAAACATTAGGCTAGGCAGGCACAGGATAGAGAATCTCAGTTTCAGGCTCTAAACCGGATTACCTACAAAAGCCAAGTAAGCCACCAAGTTATCTGTGCTTCCATTTCTCCTTCCTTAACATGGATGTAACACTATCACACTTAATGCAGAAATAAATCTCCTGTCATCAGACCTCAAATCATTGCTAGATTTTCTACAGCATATTTGGATTTGCATTTAAGTACATTTAAAGACAAGGTTTGAATTTGGCTCTGAATTTTCTAACTCCCTGGGGTTAGAGCTGAATCTTAATACTAATTTAATATAGCAAGTTGGATATTGGAGCAAGGTGCCATACGTCTGGCTTTCCCAGTCAAATGTGAGAAGTGAGGAAGTTCTTTTTCCTTTCTGACTTAGCACTTACTGTTATGGATTAACAGATGTCTTTGTAGAGAGAATGGGGTTCGGAACAAAGCTTTGCATTCCTCACACTGGAATGGTCTCTCTTCAGAATGGGTCTGCAGATGAAAGACAACATGTCAGAGGAAAGGCTCAGGGAAATCAATTAGGCATCATTACAGTAATTATAGCTAATTTTCTAGACTGGATTCAGGAAGGGATATCACAGCAATTTGAAACATCAGGGGATAAAGAATTAAAACAATCATTCTGCCATTATCCAGAATTCTGAAAGTCAGCACAGCAGCTACCAAATAAATGTACCCTCCCAGTCCTCAGAAGTGTTACATGGGGTGTGCATGTAAACAGAAACAAAAATAAATATAGAATAACCAGGGAGAAAACGTACAAGCTCAGCTGCACTGCTTCATCCATACTAACATTGGTCTTAAGTACCAATATGAATAAATACTTTAAAATTAAACACATGTACACAAACCCCTTTTTCTCAGTTTTGAAGTTTGAAGGTAAAATTGATCTGATTATCTCAAGATAGCGTCTAAAATTTGGCAAAGAAAATTTCTCAAATCATAAGACTAATCTTACAAATCCTTGTTTCAGGTTCTTGTATTAACAGGGAAAAAAAAGAAAAAACACAGAAGCATCAGTATCAAGATTTAAGTTTGCTGTAGAAAAATTTGTCATAGCTGAGAGATGTCAAAGCCATAAATAAAATAAAAGGCTAAGCTTGGATAAATCTCTCAAACTGCAGAGTTGCTAAAGCAGATTTCTCTTCTGGAGCTTGGGAAACATCCAGCTTCATTCTACTTTTGTAAATTTCAGAGCGTTTTCCCCGTTTCCTAGTGTTATTAAGTGCTGTCTCACTGTAGATAGTAAGTCAATCCATACTATTTATTACCTACCCTACTTCCTACTATTTTGCAAAAGAAAGTAAGTTTTTAAAGCGTCAGTGTCTAAACATTAGAAGCTGCAATGTCAAGAGGAAAACGGAATGGATAGTAAGTGTTTTATAATATGCACAAAATTAGGTACATAAGTTCATTTTGCAAACTAAGGGTAAATATTAGGTTGTATGAATATGCAATATGCTATTTCTGCTACTCATAATACCAGACGACATTTGTAGTTATCACTTAAACTATGGTAAACAAGAGACTGTGGGAAGTCAGCATAATTATTCAGATGTAGACTGAGGGCCTCAAACTTAGATTGATTTTAGTGCAAATGTCCTCTTACATACACAGGAGTACCAAAATGTCAGAGTACTTGCAATGGTATGCAGAGGCTTTGGATTCAAATTCAATTCCTTGAACTCAGCCTATGTCACTTAAGGCAAAAAGGCAACTGGAGCATCATCAACTGTGTGGAATATATCACACATTACACAAAATCTGCTGAATGTTTCAGTCCAGCTTCTACAGGTTTACATCACAGTTTCCATTAGTTGACACCCTGCTTGGTAGTCTCAGCAGTCAGGCCAAGGATTGACAGGACATAAAGAGACTGAACTACCTTCTCACCTCAACAGGTGGTTCCTCCAGAACAGGGTTGAGACATATTGACGAGACACTGTGGGGAAGCTCGCAGTGCTGCTGTCTGTGCTGTACCTGTTCTGTGGATAAATAGAAGGGTTCAGTCTCTAGGGCTGTCAATCTGGCACCTTTCACGAGCGCAAAATTCATGTTATTTATTTTAAAAATGCCCTGGTTTAGAACACTCACCACTTGAGTGATAGTTCTGAAGAGCACAGTGATTTGTACAGAATTCCTTAGCATCTCCTTGACAGGTCTCCTAGTCTTCTGATCACAATACACATATTCATCTGCACATCTTAACTTCTCTCAGAAGAAAAGCACCTAAATAAGCATACCCACATGCAAGGGTACACAGATGATCTCCCTCTTTTGTGAATGGTCCAGAAACAAGCTATATCTATTACAAAAAGCCATGCAAATCTTAATGAGGAGACGTATCCCCCCAGACAAGCACATTAGTTCCAATACTGTCCTTTTTTGTCCTACTAATAGGTTCCAGACCAGAGATGGCTTCCATTCAGTCAAAGCAAGGGACGCTAGCCATACGATCAAAGCAACTGAGGATTGACTCTTATGCAATATTTCATGGCAGCCTTTCCTATCATAACATTTGTGGAGGCTTAAACCCAGCCCAAGGCTATTTATTCCCAACAGAGAAACTGAGGGAATACAGTTGTTTCAATTCATTATACTCCCCAGAACCAAATAACCCTGGATTAAATATAAACCCTTTAAAATCCTGTGTCTGCTGACCTATTTCTGCTCGCTGTCATATCCTCCCTTTTTATTCTTTGAACTCATCCTCTATACATAACAACAAAGAAGCAGATGGAACAAAAACTTTGCTTTCTCCTGCATGGAAGTGATCTGCATTACATGGCACAGAACTGCATTACATGGCACAGAACATACACTTTCATCTGATCGAACCTGGTTGAAAGGTGACTACTGTAATCTATAGCATAATCCAATACTACATTTGCCTCTTAATTTCAGATACTATTCTCTTCCCTTGTCAGAAAAATTGAGCCGTATTTTTCATCCGACCACTTAGTTTCTATAGTTTAAGCTTTTTCAAAAGACATCTGAGCTAGTTCCACACCACTTAACACTTCTCAGTGCTGACATCCGCAAGCAAGCTTGCACATGCACCTACACATTGCAGTGTAGTACTTGTACAGAAGCAGCATGTCAGAGAGGTACCACAGGAAGACTAACAGCTCCTGCCTCCCAGATCTGCAGCTGCAAGAGCATAACGAGTGGTAAGTTAGGGTTCACATCACAATGCTCTGCCGAACAGTACAGACATACTCTTAGCAACTCCACTGTCTATCTCCCAGTGAAATCCTGTGAAACGTGAGGAACTCATCTCCCTCTGCACCTTTGAAATGACCCAACATTCACCCACATCAGAAAAACATTTAAAAGCATGTGTTGTGGAAGTCATTTTTATTCCGATACTCCCAACACAAAATCAGATTAAATAACCCCCATAAAGGAATCACAGAAACAACAGCAACGTTTCCATCTAAAACACAAAACAAGAATTCAAAGGTGCAAAATACACATGTATCCTGTTTCTTATTATAAATAAAAAGTATGTAGCTCTGCTGTAAAACTCAGAGTTTTCTCAAGTGTGTTGCTTCCTGTTGAATGCTGTTGATTTAAGTGTTTTTAACTACTATACCCATCATTCCTACTGCAGTTTTCTAAGTTCCCCAATACTAGCACAGCAACTGCACCCTGGAACTCAAAAAAGCACCATGAAATTATTCAGAGGCCAACTTTTTTTCCTCAAGAAGAAAGTGAATCTAGGAGGAGGTCTTAAAGGAATACACACCTAAAGAATATTTAAAACTCCAGCTGAATACATACAATGTATGACACACAATAAAGGTTTAAATCTCCACTGTTACTGCATTGACAATTCTGTGAAAAGGCAAAAAAAACTATTGCACTCTTCCCTTAGTAGCACTACAACCCTCCCAAAATCATGGCACTTAAAATTATTTTGGCATCCCAAACTACCACATCCTTGACTTACACCTTACAATTGGTTTTGTGTATATACATCCATACTCCCCTCCATTATCTACCTCCCCTTGTTTACACTGTTTACTCAATGGCAAGAGATGTGTCTAAAAAAAGCAATTCAGGACATCTATGTCAGTCTCCTGTCTGTCACACTCATCTCTTTCATTTAGCAAGTGAAATTAGAGACCTAAATGTAGATGGGTGAAAATTCACAGCTGTTTGGGTAAACTTCATGTAAACATAGGAATAAGTTTCTTTCATTATAGGACAATGTTGATTTACAGCCCATACTGTGTGCAAACAGGTTCAGGAAATCAGTATTCCAACACACTAAGGAATTCTGTCAAAATTAGGTACTCACTAAATCTGTCTAAATTTTAATATTTTTCCCATTAAGCAGAGTCTCTAATCTTTGCTTATGTTAGTGTTGCTGCTGCTTTAAACACAAAATTGGGTCAAAATGTTTAGTCATTCACACTTAATCCTGAGTTCTGTTTTCAGCCCAAACTCCCTACCAGTCATCAATTGCAAATATAACACAAGGAAACACGTAAAAATTATTCATTTAAGATATAGAAGTATCTTTTCAGATAGCATGTTATACACTTTCCTTAGAATATATCCAATTTGTGAGATTCTGCCCGATTTTCTTAATCAAGTCTAAAACGCAAGATGCAACCACAGCATATACGGGAGCTAATCCCATTCTTCAGCAGGCTTCTGCATGCTTTCTATTTTAGACGGTCATCACCAATTCATCTTATGAGATGCATTATTATTATTCTTACATGATTTATGGCTCAAAGTGCAAGAGATGGTGCAAAGATCCTGTGCCAAATTCCCTGGTGGCATATAACATGAGCCAAACTGCAAAAGACTGGTAAGTATGCGTGTATCAGTTTCATCAAAAGGGGAGAAGAAAGAGAGAGTATTTAAAAAATGTAAAGAAAAAAAGAAAAAAGCAAAGGGTTCCAAATACAGGACACAAACAGGTAGGGGTTGGGTTTTTTTCCCCCTTTCTTTTTTAGAGTTTTGTAATTCTGAATCCTCAGTCGTGGATATAGCCTTTCCATTAAAATTGTAACCCCAGGTTAAAATAATGAAAGGCATTATAGAAATTAGGCTAAGCAGATCTGATCTTAAATCAACAAAAGCTGAGCAACCCTTCATAAGCCTATTTTTCAGGTAACTTTTTTTCTAATGTTGACTTAATGTGGGAAGCAGGTGCTAAGTCCAACAATGACTGCAACAGGAATACACTTAAGTCTTATTCAAATACGGTATTTTTTAAAATACAAAAAATTTGAAGACATTTTGGATTAAATTTTTAACTTCATAATCTAATATTAAAAAAATAACAAAACAGAAAATGGGGATTTATTTGATGTTTTTAACCAAGCAACTGTAATTTCCTTCTGCTTATTTCACTTTTTTTTTACTAGAATTCATTTAGTATTTTGAGATTTTGGTTAAAACAAAGAACACTAAAAAATACATTCTCCAATACTTTAATCCCATGTTTATAAGCATGCCAGAGCTTAATGATGAACCACTTAAAAGAAAAAAAATCTGCAAATCTGAGGCTGGCAGACCTGTAAACAACAACAGCAGAGTGCTTTACCTTCTTGTGATTCTTGTAAACATTTCTGTGGGCAAATCCCTTTCCACAAAGCTTGCATTTATAAGGTTTATCTTCACTGTGTATTATTTTGTGTGCAGTCACTTGATCAAGTCGTTTGAAGGACTTATTGCAAACCTCGCAGGTGTAGGGGCGTTTTTCTGCAGAAAATGAGTGGGGGACATTTAATCTCCTGTTTATACAGGGGGAGAAGATGAAAGGCAGAGACAGTCATCTCCTCAGAGATTTTTGCAATTAAGTCAACCCAATTAAGATCAAACCAATTAGAAAAACATCTAATGCCCTTTATGTTAGACAGTTAAGTCACTTCACAGAAGATGAGCCATGGTGTACCTCAAGAAATTGGCACATTCTTTGCAATAATCATTGCTAAAACTAAATTCTGATTAATTAGCTTAAATCAAAAGAGAATGACTTCAAAGAGGAAAACCCTGTTTCCAGATTACATATGTGAAAGAGGGCATAACAGTTTAAATGTTTTAAAACTTGATTAACAATATACATATTAGCTTCCAAAATCAGAAGTTCCAATACAAAAAGCTTTTGTGCTTCAACTGGTGACTGCAGCTTAACTACACTAATGCTCATCCAAAAGTGTCAAAAGAAAGCTAGAAGCCTCTCAGATATATCTGTGTTACAAGAAATGAGCTTTTGGTGTGGACTGATACCAAGAAAATAGTTCATTTATAAGCCAGTACCACTGTAAAAACCTGTATTTTTAAAACACTACCATATTTGACAGAACAGTGTTTGTGTTTTCATTGCATTGGCTGGTGTTTCCAATCACTGGTGAAAGACATACAAACACTAGATCACAGTGATCAGAAATCCTGGCAGAGCCAATTTCTGTCATATTGCTAAACCTATGGACAGGCCACTCCCCGCTCTCCGCAGTTCTGGCAGAGGACAGACTCAGTGAAACATTTGTACATGTTCTACAAAATGATGTGGAGCATGAGCTGCTTTCCTCTAACTGGAAACTATGTGCATGTGAGTCCACTAAAATATATACATATGAATGTTTCCCATTTTATCACAGATCTCCGGCTGACAGCTTACCCCTGCTCCCATCCTCTTCAACACGAAATTTCACCCATCGGTTCTTCACCTCCTCTCTAAGCTAAGTAGCAATCTTTTGCCCCATTCCAGCTAACTGACATCATCTACCCCAGCTAGCATGAAAAAATAGCTTGACAAAGCAGCAACAGGAAGAAGACTATAGCATTATACTTGGATTTTTGAAAGGCTTAGAAAGGATGATAGTTTCCTTGGAACCTGAGATTTGCTCGAACAGCTCAGGGCAACACAGAATTCATCAAGCCTTCCATAAAAAATTAATCCAGGTAAAATTCAATATACGTTAAATACATATACATATATATAAGTTTGTGTTATTTTTGTACATTACCTGAATGAGTTATCATATGGCGTTTTAGCTGGTTAGCTGAAATAAATTTCTTGTCACATTCCTGACACTCAAAGATCTCATGGACCTGCAAAATGAGTGTTTAATGATAATTAAATACGTCTCAAACAATATACAGAAAGTCTCTAATAGACCACAACTATTTCTGAGCCAGTAGCTATGCTAATATTCATGAATATTCTGTAATTTCCCCCTTGCTAGTCCCTTCATGTACAACAGCATCTCAAAAAATAAATATTCATAACTGTAAACAGCTATCACTGCAACTATATTTAGAAACACAGCTTATGCAAATTTGCAATAGCAGATCCATTCAAAATATCATTATTATTAAAGCATTAAAAAACAATGCAGAATGCCTTTTCAAAGCACTTTTTTCTTGTCAATAAGACGCAAGTAAAAATAACACAGTCACTACTTCGTAACTACTGTAAGAATTTTTTAAAAAAAAAGTACTGTCAAAAACTTCCAGGATTGTTTCTCTTAAAAGCTTTTAGAGGCAAGACAGTTGAGGGGCAGCAGTGTCTCAAACTGTAAATGCAGTAAGCATTAGCACAATTTTCAACATCAGAGCACATAATGTCATCAAGGACAAGTGTTGGAAAAACAGAAGAGACAGCTGAGAGTTGCAACCTCTATCAGAGGTCAACTAAAAAAAAAAAAAAAAATCCCATTTTCTTTATTGTTCCCCAAAATCACAATACATACATACTACTACACCCATCATGATTACCGTTCACCTTCTACTCTGTATTACATTTGCCATCAGCAACCTCCCCTCAACCTAGCCACAGTGCAACTGAACATACATTTCAATTTTTTGGTACTGCGGTCTGAGACAGCAAAACTTCTGGTCAGCGCTCACATTTCATAAATGTTTTTTGGAGAACTCTATAGACTTTCCGTAGGAGAATCTAGCAGCTAAAAATAACAAATATCAAAGGTTCAACACAATACTCTCATGAAAAACATTTGCAGACAGCACAGTAAAGCAGCTCAACTAAGCCTTCCACTTCAAACAAAAAAAAAAAAAACCCAAAAAAACAACAGATTCCCCCTCACAATTCTCCCCAAAAAACAAAAAAAAAACAACCAAAAAAACCCTTCCCCTTCAAAAAAAAAAAAAAAAAAACCCAAAACAAAAACAGATTCTCCCTAAGTATTCTACCTCACCATGTTTTTACACTGCTACTCACAAACAAACTTTAGCATAAATTAAGTGTTTTAATAAACTGTCAAGTGATTATGTCATTTCCTACAGTCTCTGCAAATTTGCGCACTGTGGACAGTAATGCGTACCAAAATGCTCAGACGGAATTAGGTGGTAAACTCAAATGAAGATCATTCATTCTGTTTACCCAGCTGCATTTCAGATTAATTTCTCTTATATGCACACACAATCTACTACTCTACTCTTCCCCAAAAGATCAAAATTCTTACTTGGATAGTTAACTGAAGTTTACATAATTCTGCAACCAACTGCTATTAGAATCCCCTCCAACACAATTATTTGAAATAACTTGTAAGGTATTCTTAAACATAATATTTAATACATCAGAACCCAGACTATGCTTTGACATTATACAAATGCCTTATTAAACAATGCTGTCGAAATGAAGGCTCACTGAATACATCTGCATCAAAAAAGAAACTTGCACGTGCATTAAAAAAAGCTACAGCTATCAAATAAATATTCTATAGCTGTTACTCTTCTATCAATTCTCAGAAAACAATCAGACACAGACATATGCATGTGCATTACATAGCTGTCACTATCAAGCATATATTCTATAGCTGGCACTCTTCTAATCCATTTTTTAGAAGAGTACACAATTACATGGTAAAACAGTAATAAAATATAACAAATGTTTTTATGAATAACAATATTCAAACAGATTTTCATTTTAAGAAAACTTGTCAAGTAACATGCTTTATGAGTACACAGGCTGTAATACCAGACAAGTTCTCGTGCAATGATTTATTCATATAATAAAATTAGTCTCATTAGGGTGCTGTAACAGCTACCAACATAAACCTCTCTTGCATTAAAGTCAGAACATGCTTAGAATTGTTTCATTTGCATTTGAAGAGCTACACCTTCAGATAACAACTTGTTAAGTGCTATACAAAACAGCAAGCATCTGAACAAGATTAACATACACTCAGATAAATATACACCTTCACTTACAGGACTGAATCGTAAAATTTTCATGAGGTCTACTGAAATCAAAAGGTCATTCAAAAGAGTTTTGGGGGTGAAACTGAGCTAAAACTTTGAAGATACACAAAATCCATGATCAGCTTTTCCAAAAACTAATTTGAATTCCAATCTACCACTCCAATAACTGGATGAGACTCTGCCTGTTGGAAGGCAGTGCTTTGAGAGAATATGAGAACATTGCATCCAACTGAAATTATTAAACGCGATTGACACTTTCAAAGTGGTGTTCAAAAGTCAGTTTCCTCTATCTTTCTATGGCTTTCACAGTGATTGTGAAAAATAAAGACTGCACAGTTGAACAAAACACTGCCCAGTGTTGAACAAGGGTAAAAAAACCCAACACAGAGACACTTGGAACTGGCAGGTGAAAAAAGGCAGGAGGAGAGGATCACAGATGTTATTTAAGAGTGACTTTCCTCCTCATAGTTTTGCAGGAAGTCCAGCTCTACAACAAAGAAAGTTAAGAAAGAATCAAAGATTTTTCATAAACAATAAAACACTCTCAATCTCATAGAAAAAACAATGAATAGGATCCTTCTCGGTTCTGTTATTTTCTCTCCAGTAGACTGTGCTACAGCATTTCTCTTAATGGAATCTTACAGACCGATATAAAAAATACAGAAGGGCAACAGCACAAGCTAGTCTTACCTGTAAAGAACAGCACTGCATTTCATACAGGCATGTGTTTTATGACCTTTTCCAAAATCAAAAAAGCTTTACTGCCTTACACTCAAAGGCATCCTTAATCTTCTTTCTTAACAGGAGCATTAGCTACTTTACTGTTGAAAACACCCACCTACAACAAAGTCTGAAATTCACTCCACAGCTGTACAGCCAGAGACATACTCCCCCAACCTACCTACAAGTACTGAAAGTGTAGCACTGTCTATTCTGGCTGCATCATCTTGGGAAAAGAAACCAGCAACATTGGCATGTCTGAATTTTTCTTCCCTTTCCACTTACAGAACAGTAGAGCCTCAACGGAGATGTCTGGCAGCCTGTGCTATTCAGATGTATAGGCTCACTTTTAAGTTTAAGTTCCTGTGAGCAAGACAAATCCAAAACATAAGACACCTAATGTTCAAAGATACAAAAGGAACCCTATAGCAAGAATCTACATCAATGAGGACAAAACTCCTTTAGCTTGCTTGCTCACTATTATAAATGTTGAATGATTCAATTTTGCATTTTACTTAAACTTCAGCACTTGGTATCAGAATATAATTGAGATGGCATGTCATTTGCTTTGGCAGTAGACATAACAAACCTGCAAAAATGAGATTTTACAACAAATTCTTTTTGTTCTACTACACAGTCTTTTGTAAGCTCCTGTACAGCATTTCTTCAGTTGTGTTTGCTGGTAATTTTTTTTTTTTATACTACCATATCACTTAGCAGCCCAAATCATGGATTACTATAAATATCAGCTAGAACAATGTCACTTTACAATTGGAAGATAAGACAAAAGGGAACAGGTGGATATAGACAGAATGGAAAACAGAAAGATACTAATCACTACAAAAAGCAATATCATCAGTGGATCAACATCACAACTGTTGTTAAAGTTTTGTAGGTATCATGCAGGAGGAGAGTTGTGTTATGGCAAGTAGGTTTGGAAATCAAGTAAAAAATAAAAAATGTAGGTAAGACTATTCTGGGTAGGACTATAATCGCTAAGGAACACAAGATCAGAATCCAAAATGATGTCCACACTGAATGAAGCTTCAAAACACTCATTATTTAGGAAGGAGAAATCAAATGCATAAATGTGACATGATAACTAACAGTTTACATAGCACCACTAGAAAACAATATGAATACTGAGCTGATGCTGCTGTTAGAAAGCACTGTCACTCTGAGACGTATTAAAAGACATATTCTCTATATCAATAAACCCAGGACAATCATTCCACTATACCTGTCACTACCAAGGGCTCAACTAAGCATCATTGCTCTTCTTGTTTGGGCAGCTGACCACAAGATGCTTATAGGCCAAAAAGAGAATCCACAGGAAGAAAAAAACTTACTAAAAGCAAAAGTAGTTTGGAAAAACAGATGCATGAAGAAAGATTGAGATAATTGTGTTTGTACAGCCTAGGTATTGCAAATGGAGTTGATAACAGCTTTGCAATATGCTAATTGGTACAAGGAAGACAGTGTTGAATTGTTCTTCACGTTTTTTCAGATAAGACAAAGAGCAATTAACTCAATTTGCAGTAAAGAGGAAGATTTAAGTAGGACATCATTAAAAACAAACACTGGACTAATGAACACATTCAAAAAAATTAATAGCACTAAAGATGAAAGTCAGAATACAAAGGGACATCTATGCAGGTGGTAAAATCTTCTTTAGTGGAACTTCTCAGGATATGAGACAGTGCATATCTAGGATGCTTTAGGTACATGCTTACTCCTCTCTCAGAAATAGAATGGGCTAGAAAACCTCCTCCTGAGTCCTGAGTTCTCTTCCAGCCCTACATTTCACTCAATTTGAGAAAAACTAAAAAAAAAAAAAAAAAAAGCAGCTGTGCCACCAAAAATAAGCATGGTACATTCACCAGTCTGGAAAACAAGCAGGTAAGACTAAGGGACAGAAGATGGTAACAGCAAAGTTTAATTGTGCATGGCAAAGAAAGGGTTTATTTTTAGACATTTAAGGCACAAGCAATCCGCAAGACACACAAAGCTAAAAATGGGTTTAAATCAAAGATGCCATGAAAGCTACAGGTCTGGATGACTGTGTCTTCAGCAAGTAAACAGATCTCTTAATCTCCCCTATAGCCACCCTTTTTACATTCTTTCTCTGTTTATTGGATTTCTCTCTGTTGTTTGGGCTTCTTTTCTGTTATCTCCTATACTTTACCTTTCTATACTCTACCTTTATTTCTTTACTTTGACAGAAAATGGGTGGGGGAAAAAAAAAATCTTTTCCTCCCTGTTTCACTGATTATTCTCTTTACTTTTTTACTGCCTGTCTAAATATTTATGGCAATGTTGTGATGCATCCTGCCCCACTTCCTACAAAAGCAAAGTAATTCAAGCAAACAGAAGGCATGAGCCCTGCATGCAATCTCCTTCACTATCTGATGTACATGTGTGAATCTATTTCCTGGATGCCTTAAAAAAGAAGCCGATCAAGAAGAGGAAATACGGAAGTTTTATTCACAAATTCTTCATGCTGATTCTTAAGTGCTCAACTGACCTACCATCAATGCTATTTGAAATGCTTGTTAGTGTGTGTCATAGTGTCTGCACAGAATTACAACTACCAAAACAAAACAAACATTTTAATAAAATGGACACACTAACCATGATATTCTGCATTTTCAGGGCCAACATAAGGTACACTGATGTGTAAAAACTGTAATTACATGTGGCAAGGCATATCACAATTTGGTCTGAGGAGTAACAAAGTATAGCCCTGTTCAACAAGAAATATAGGGCATATTAATACAAGAAAGGAGAAAAACAAATTTTAAAGGAGGGGCCCCACCATTTCGTTTGCAACAACATATTTTAATTGATATCATCTATATCCTCAATAGATTCAGGTTATAACCAGGGCATTATTAAATACTTACAGATAATCTGATAAACAGTACAATGTAGCTTTTTGTAAAAACAGAATCTCATGGGTTTTAATGATTTATCAAATTAATCTTGCAGGGACTTCCTTTGGGTATAATGGATTCAGAATCTCATATTCATAGTCCATCTGTATTTCTATACGAATCCCCTTATTTCCAATAGATGCTTTTCAAACTGTTAACCCCTCCTGTTCTGGTTATAAAAGATCATGTGCCTAAACAAAAGAGACACTAAAAATCTGGTTTTGAGGAAAAAAATTTTTTACTACTGCATAACTAAATTGCAAATAACACCCTTACTGGTATGTCACAAAGTAATAAGAAAGATTGATTGTATTTTGTACAAAAACTGAAGGTTCATGAACCTATTTTATGGTCTGTATGTATCCTATCATTACATAATATGCTTTTATATTTAGCTTAGTGTTTAAGAATGCTTAAGAACAGCAGACAACTTTGGCTTAATGTTGGAATGCACAAATGATACAAGCATAAACATTTTTCCATTTGGTAAAAGATGCATTAAAATTTCAGGAAGATTTTTGGTTTAACCAAGTATGATTACAAAAATAAACACGCCCAATAAAATACATTGGTTTTGTAACCATGAAATAGATTACCCAAAGGTTTGCATTACAGCAGCTTTCAAGTGACCTAAGCACCAGAGTCTCACATCTTAGTGAAGTCGAAGCCTGCTGTGGGTTAGCCTTCATCTTACTGACCTTTCGATGCTCTTGGAGATTTGTTGCTGAGGAACATTTCTTATTGCACACTGAACACATCAGCTTCTTCCTAGAATTTCCTGAAACAGAAACAAAACACTACCAACATCTCAAAAAGGAAGTGCTATGAAAGAATCTAAATATTTCCACTGAGTCTGTGACTTCTCACAGGTCATTTGACTGACATAAGATTTTTACATTTGTATCCCATCTTCAAAGCGTTCCATATCAGGCGTTCTCTGTGGGTGTCCAACAAACCAGTTACTGATGGAATGTAAATCAAGAAAACAATAAATAAAAAAACCCTTTCAAATCAATGTTATCACACATCACCAATCCAATATGAAAAACACAATTCACAACTAGGAACAACTCACTTTATAACTGAACAGTTGATTTCTTCCAGAAGTCAATACAGGAATTAGTGCAGCAATGACAAAAAAGATCCCAAAGTGAAACAATCATTTCCCATTTTTCTTTATTCAGAAAGCATTAAGATATCATTAATGGTCTTTAACTGAACAAGACAGGGAAATTGTATTAGCATCAGATCATGAATTCAAATCTAGTCTAAAATGTAAATTACAAAACAAGCCACAGGTCAGCTACCAGATGTATTTTCCTTCCCTTTTCACAGTTGCTTTAAAAAGTGACGGAACATTTAATTGTGTTTATCTATCATTCACCTTTTGAAAGTTATTTTAGTATCCCACAAAGCTACCACAAACCTAATTCTTTGTTTACAACTATGTGCCCACACAAGATATTTCCTAGCTTATGTAAAAAATTCGTATTACTCTGAACACTGAGAAGAGCAGACACAGAACAAAAAAGAGGAGTACTGCTTAGGCACACACAGAGGAAGCATGGATCATAAACAAACTCATTAGATGGCTTCTAGCTCAATTTTCCAGATCCTCATCTTCCTACATCTTTCCTGCTTTTGCTCTCCTAAAGAATTCGTATTAGGTTGATTCTTCTTACTACAATGTACCCTGTCAATGGATTGGTTCAATACTTAAATTTGTAGTATAAACAAAGTACTTAATCTCACATATGCATTTGCTGTTATAAAGCTTATGCTAAGTGCTTATATATACTGATATACAGCTAAATACAGGAATACATTTAGTTCTTCAACTTACAAGAAGATTAATGAGACCTTCTCGAAGGACAGAAAGGCGATAGTGAATATCTGTTCATAGCTTTGCACAATGAGCAACACATGTAACAATCCTTTCTACTTTCCCTTGCCACCAGGTAACACAAGCCAGGAAGTAATTCTAGAAATGTCCCTCAACAGTAGTAGGTTATTTTCCTTCCTGCACTGACACTAGTTGTGATTTCTATGCCTCCCAAGTGGTAAAATAAAAGCTCTGCTCATTGTGCAGGCAGAGCAAAAATATCCTCCAGGCATCTGCTCTCAGTTATGTCTGGAGTGATCACTCAAGAAAACTGTGGAATTTGTATACCACTACATAACTGATCAAAGCTAAGCCTAAACATAACAATGTTCATGGATGAAAAAAATCCTTACTGATACTGAGAAAAGGAGATCATCTTTTATAAGAACAGTCATGGAAGGGTTTCTGTACACTGTAAGAGTTTGGCAGAAGGAGGAGATCTCATGCAATGAAAACCTTACAAAGCATCTCAGTGTTGTCGTCATCAACTAAAGACCGTTTTCTTTCACTCTGGTATTCTGCTGTCCCACACATACTGATCTTCCATTGATGTTAAGAGTGGACACGCAGAGAGTTTAGAATGCCAGAACTGAGATCTGCATTGTGGACCTGAGAGCAGTATTTTGCCCTTCTATGAAAACAGAGCGAAGTTTGATTGAAAACTATTGATTCACAGTACACAGACGTCAAAAAAAACCTATGGTCTAACGGGACTAGTGGATTGTCTCATCTGGCTTCCAGCACAATAGAGGCTTTAGAATTTTATGCAATACCCTCACCAAGCCTAATCGTTTGTGAAGCATGTCTTCCAGAAAGACATCCCATTGTGTCCTGAAAATGCCAAATGATCAAGAACTCACCACTTCCTGCAGCAGTTTGTGCCAACAGTTGCATTTTCCTCGCTACTGAAATGTTTTGCTTTATGCATTATTTGCCTAGTTTAAACTTCCCCAGATTCCTATTACATTTGCTGCAGTAGACTAATGATTCATCTGTAATACAGTAATTTCTCCCTGGGGGAGGAGGAATAGTTACTCTTGCAATTAGTTACTTCTTAATTTTCTTTTTGATACAAATGAATCCACTAAAAAATAAACGAAAGACAACATTTAATGTTACTTGCAAATTTAAGGCTAGGAACACATAGGACAATTTTTTTGCCAAAGAAACATTAAACTCTTTCTTACCACTGTGAACGTTTTCTTTATGTTTTTTCAGGGCATCCTTACTCTTGAACCTCTTCCCGCAGCTATCTGCCTTGCATATGAATCTGGCATCCCCTCTGCATGCCTCCTTGTGCTGTTCGTAACTATATGGGATAACCAGTAAAACAAACCAAAAAAAGCAATACATAAAGCGCTATCTACAGAAACCAGACATGTAGCAAGTACTCTGAGCTTAATGCATGCTGCACTGCAGAGTTCCAAGGCCACCTCATGCATTACTTACAGCAAATACGAATGAAAGCATTTAGCTTCTTTCACTGTTAGGATTCATATTAACTAACAAGCTTGAAAGCTAACATGCAAAGGGAGGCCAGCAATGATATGACAGCAGTCCAGTAACTCAGACACAAAACCTCGATTCTGAGCTGAAGGAAGTATTGCAAACAGAGCACTGAAAACTTCTTGAAGAGTCTCCTGGGCTGATATTCTCTGTGCACTGAAGTACACTAAAGAAAAATAAAAAACAACCAAAAAAAAAAAATAAGGGGAACATTCTACAACATACACAGGCTTGCAGTAGCTAAAAAAATATATACAGCTCTACAAATCTTTAAGTAGGTGAGTGATTTCTTTCATGTGTTAAGTCTCCTTGAATTTAGTGGGAGTAATCAAATGCATAAACAGTAAGAATCAGGATGATATTGCAGTATCCTCACACAGATTAATCTTACCTTGCACAATGTAAAATTTTTTTAACTAGCTATACAGCATAAATCCAACTTCCACTATAGACTAGAAGGCACAAGTCTAGTTCAAGAGAAAATACTTAATTGCCTCCACCAAATATTTCTCTGCCATGTAATCACATTTATTTCCACGAAAGAACACAGAGCTGATACAGAGCTGCCAGTTCTAGGAATGTTCACATTATTCAGATGTAAGAAAGATCAATTTATTACAAGAGCAGCCTTAAGTGCATTCTATGCAATATGAGTCTGTTTCTTTCCAACATGACAGTTAAACTAAATGTACTATCTATAATTCAATGTATAATAAAAAGTAATATATCCATTTACCGGCAAGCCAAAAAAATTGTATTATAAACAACAAGAGACAAAAACAGTTGTGTTTTTGTACAAAAGCGTAATTGTAAGGTATATGACTTTAGTGACAAAACTGCATATTTACACTATCAAGGACAGTAAAGATTTGCTCTTAGATGTCACATCTTTCATGTTTCTGTTTATTTTTTTTCATCACTCAAATATTTCATTAATCAAACATGAAGCACTGTTCTACCATTTTTTTGTCCTTCTAGATCACTATTTACTTTCTTCTAACTCTTACTTCAGTACTGTAACGACATCCGCAGCTTAAAAATCACATCTCCCAAACTACTAAACGGCCCACTGACAGAGACCAACGGTTTTGCCAGCCAAACAACAACTCTGACCTGGTCTACAGCATATGATTTTAAAACAAAAAATTACAGACATTTTCTCAATGCAAATTGAAGTCTCCAACAAATACAAAAAATTAACATATTAAAAGACTAAAGTAAAGGGTAAGGATACAAATACATAAGCATGAAAATTACAGGTTAAATTGTGATTAAGCCAAGAGAAATAAATGATTGAATGAAACAGATTTAAACAATACCCCAAAAAAACACTCCTGTTTCTACTCACTGTCTTTGTAGAGCTTGTTTAACAGGGAATTTCTTTCCACAGTTTCGGCACTTAAATTCCTTTTCCTCACTGGGTTTTTGGTGCAAAGTCTGAAGATGTTCAGCTAGAATCTCCTGGCTGGCAAAACTGGATTCACAGTTTGGGCATACATGGTCCTCTTTGCAGGTGAGGGGATCTGCACGATTGGAGGCAAAAAAACAGTAAAGGCATAGTTTTAAGTGAGTGTTTTGGTTACATTAAGAAAGACTTTCTGCCAGAAACAGATTGTGCAAAATAGCATCACAAAACTGATAAAAGACTGTCTCTGAATGGATTATAGAGAGCCTATCTTGAGTAGATTACCACCAGCATTATTGAAAACAGATACAAAGTATGAAGTTGGGTGTGACTTAGGCTGTTAGCCTAATTTAGTCATCCAGGTTGCCTCTACTTTGATAAAGATGCTGAGAATTCACCAGCTTAGGTCACATACCTTTTCTTAGACATTTTATCTTAGGATTGGCTGAACAGTTTTATGAAAAGGTTTATTTCTGTCCCATCTAAGTAAGAGGGAAACTATCCCTCTTAGAGCAAAAACTTAGCTTTCATAAGACTGTGTCAGGTGAAATTAACTCAGTTTTTAGTTCAAAAATTAATGGTAACTTCTCATGAAATCTAGGCTTAGCCATTCACTCAGTAATTCACAGGACTGGCTGCTTATTATTAGGCAAAGACAAGAACGTTAAACCAAAATAAAGTGATAAAGATCATACAAGAGCTCAGACTAAACCCAGGGAGCCTTCCAGTTCCCCAGTCCTATACAGTTTTTGTTCTGTTTCTTCTTTGTTACTATTTTTAAGTTGTCAAATGACCCTATTTTTTTTTTTTTACATATTGCTCACCTGCATTTTTTTCACTAGCTGGTTGCACTTCTTTGTTGTTGCCACTGTCCTCGTCTTCCTGGATAACAGTCACTTCTTCTTCCTCTTCCTCCTCTTCTTCCATGTCACTGTCCAAGTACCCAATTAGAAGTTCTGTGTCTGTTTCAATATCTTCCACAGCCAGATAGAAAATATTTTCCCCTTCCTGTTGCAAGCAGTAAGTAGAAGCAGTGAATAATTATTAATTATATCAGAAAAAGTAAAATCTAGAGACAAGTATGGGACCCTGACCTAATATTAGCCCTTAACTATGGAAGGGCTGGCTCCATTCCTCAGGGAGCACAATGCTAGAACAGCCTTTCTAAGACTTCTTCCCCAGTGCAGCTGCATGGATATTCTGTATTCTGGTAATCTGAAAATATTCCCCCACCTCCTCTGTAAGACTTTTCCAATACGCACTGTAGTCTAGACCAAGGTGAAGGTGGTGTTAAAGTCCTCCTCTCCTGCCAGACACTGCCTGACAAGAACTTCAGAGTTTGAAAATGAAACATTGGAGCATTAGAAAAATAACAAAAATTTAAATAACCAATATAACTTTAGCTCTCTCCACTGTTGGCTGCAGGAATTGTAACCCAGCTTTTAGCAGCCTGTTTACATAGTGTTATTTTCTCTCTCTCTCCTTCAGATTCCCAGCCTTCTTCATAAACAGGCTTCCAACCCTGGTCAATTTTCTTCACTATCAAGTTAGCAGGCATATCTGCACTTTAAACCACTAGATCAAAACCCTCTGTTGGTTTAAATCAGTGTAGATACACAGATCCACAGAAGTCCAAAGATCCAGCCCAGATTCTGCATGAGAGGACAAACTAGATAGTAATAAGCTCCAAAACCTTCTACACAATGAATAAACAAGCTTCCAAGTAGGCACGTAAGCTAACAACTTTGGTCTTTGACAGTATTTAAAGTTACCAAGGTTGGCACGGGGAGGGGGAGCGAGGAGAGGGAGGATCTGTAGCAAAAACCAGCTGTCTCCTAAACTGATATACAAAGCTGCTTCCTTTTTTTGCCATATGTGAACCAACTGCTTTAGGTACTACCCAGAATGCCAAAGGAGACTCATTTTTACACAATGAAGGCTTCCAAGTTCCATTATAAATCTTAAAGCTTATCTGATTAACATCCAGAAAAGTTAATTGAAGCTTCTTTACACTACATCTAGCCATATATTTTGCAACAAGCTTCCGAGAACAAGGACAAGATAATAATTTTTAATTTTTGTAACATACCAAGATTAATTTAAACTGTCAGCAGGGATGTAGTATTCCCTGGGCTTTAGAAGGTCTGTTACACATTACACAAGATATTGTCACACAAGAGTGAAATCTATTTAATTCAATAGACTTGATAGAGCTGCTGCTTTCAAGGACACACCGCTTTTCTGTCCTTATCTCAACAGGAGCACTTAAAAAAACCACAAATTATGCACTTTTTTTTTCAATATATATTCTGCAGTCCAGAGGTCTATCAGCACATCACCATAACTTTTGCATATATCTCGAAGTTGCTCTTTTTCATATACCTCTGTCAAATTGCAGAGACCTTTAATTTTCTGCAATCTCAACTCAAAACAAATCATGTACTGAAACTCTAGACATGAGGAAAAGTAAAAGGTCTTTCTACACTCAGTCTCCACTTAGACAGGATAAAACCACTGGGGTAAACCTCCAGTACATCACTGTTTAGGACAACCTTATTCTAAAAGCAAGACAACCCTATAAACGGAAGCACGTACCTTTTACTGGCTTAACAAAAAAATAATAAAGAAATCCATGTATCCTAGGCAAAAATAAGAGTCCCAAACTTACTCATTAAAGAACCATATAGCAGACCTTTCAATTAGATCACACATGACACACCTTACACCACACAGGAAATCTGGGAGAACAGCAATCAGAACTAAGTATTCAGGTTAACCTAGACCAAGTGCATGAATCCCAACAAGCAAGCTCTTCTCAATACTGCTGCATCCTCACCATCTCTGAACTTCCTTATGTGCATCTGGGCATTATTTTATATCTCTGTATCTAAAAACATCCTTGTTCTTTCCCATTTGTGTACTTTTGGTTAGTAAAACGATTAATGGAAGAAGTTCTAAGGACTCTCAATGCTCGAGTGCTCTTGGTTGCATTTACATTGAAAAGAAATTGGCTTTGGTGCCAGCCCAAACTGAAACACAGCTCAAACTCATTTCTCCTCCAAGACTAATTTGTTTGACTTTTCCAGCCAAACAAGTGGTAATAGTCAGGTATTCCGAGCCCTAATTAATCCAGATATACCCACAGTGTAGTAGTTCCTCAAGGCAGCATTGTCAGTGCAACCAATGGAAGTTCTCCAGAAACCACAAAGGAATTCAAGCCTCTCCCTCTGCCAGCAGCGCCTGCATGAAGCACAATTATCTACGCGTATGCAGACACAGACATAGTGAACACAGTAAAAAAAGCTTTCAAATAATTTTTATAATCCTCCCATTTCTAAGAACACACTGCAGTTGTTCCACCTGCCCATCTGTTGAGGCCATGCTGGTTGTTTTGCTAACAACATTCACCTGCAGCAGGCCACAATGGTCCTTGGGAGAAAGCTTAAAGCGCTGGTGATGGTGGCATCCCAACCTCCCTACATACTATTCCTGGTTTATTAGTCCACTTTGCTTCTCGCACCCCCTACCTTGACTGTCATCCTTTAAGCTATGAGCCACAACTGATCTGGCCAGCAAATACAGTTTTTTGTTCCAACAGCTCTCGCCATTTCGTTTTTGCTCCACTACAGGCACCTCTCCCATTCAGATTCTTGGTTTTTCCATACAGTTACACAGCTTTACATGGATAGCACAGAGACTGTTGGAACCTTTTCTTGTTTTCACACTAGTTCATACATTGGAAAATGCTTGACTGTTTAATCCCTGTCCCACTCAGCCTACTCCTGGGTATGCACCACGTTTGTAGCTCTCAACAGCTATGAAGCAGATGGATTCTGGAGAGACCTCTCTTCAAAAAAAAAAAAAAAAAAAAAAAACCTTTAACACATGTGTGTAATGGAGACATTCAGCCATGGAACTCAGACTATGTCTAATCTGAAGTATAGCACCTGAACCACACACAGAGGACACACAGAAGCCTCAGCTCTATCTACTGATCTATTTCTGTTGTGCTGTACTGTGTGTTAAGGTAGGCAACCTTTGACATGAACATGAGACTAAACACAGCACAAGAACGTGAGATTAAACATAGCATGAGGTTAAACTAGTATGGCAATTCCTACATTTGCCTTGTGTTTTTACACCATACTGCAGTTTTTAGTGATAGTTTCCACTGAAGGCTAGAATATTTTTCCAGCTGAATATTCTGTATGGTGATTGACTTTTTTCTTATTTTTTGATTGCAGTTGTTATCTTGCATTAAATTTTAGTTTCCCATCTGCAGAAGAAAGCGTTTTACTGCAGTAATGATACTACATACTTAAATCTTGCAGTTAAACTCCTCATGAATTTGAATGACGTGTACACTAGCAATACAAATGAGAGTTGGAAAAATTTCTTTTCCCCTGCCCAAAGGTATTCCCTTCCACCATTCACTGTATATTTCAATTCAGTACACATTTTACAATTTTCCAGCTTAAAAAGAACATATTCTTGTTTCTCTGTGCGTAGAACAAAAAAAAGAAATTAAGTGGGAGTTCAAAAAGTAATTCTGGCAACATCACACTTCTGGTGGCTCTGTAGAAAAGCACTGAAACTTCTGATTATTCTTCTCAACAAAAGCTTTTGTTTAGATAAGTAAAACACGTTTGGTTCCCTCCCCCCCACAATCTTGGGAAGGTTGATCTCAGCAGCATTTTAATGGCACGTGGTCTATATGTGCCCAGTATGGCACCCCTTCCAGTACCAGCAGACCTTAATGAACCTATAGGATCCTGAACTGAGACACTGCAACTTACTCTTGGAACCATTAATTACAAATAAAATAATCCATTTGCTTAGATTTGAGCAATGTGCTTTCATCCTTCTTTCTATAGAGGAAATCGACAGGTGTTCCAACTTTAGTTATATCTTCTCTCAGAATCACCTCTGGAGGTCATCTCATCCAACACCCCTGCTCAAGTAGGGTCACCTAGAGCAGACTGCCCAGGACCATGTCCAGACAGCTTTTGAATATCTCCAAGGAGGGAGATTCCACAACCTCCACGGGGAACTTGTGCCAGTGCTTGGTCACTCCCACAGCAAAAAAGTATTTCCTGATGTTCAGAGGGAACCTCCCAAGTTTCACTTTGTGCCTGTTGCTTCTGGTCCTGGTACTGGGCACCAAAAAACACAGACCACTTTCTGCAAAGCTGCTTTCCAGCTGCTTGGGCCCCAGCATGTAAAGGTGCATGGGGGTTGTTCCTCCCTAGGTGTAGGACTTTGCACTTCCCTTTGATAAGCTGCATGAGGTTTCTGTTGGACAACTTCTTCCCATTTCTTCTTGGGGGTCCCTCTGGATAGCAGCACAGACCTCTGATTTATCAGCCACTCCTCCCAGTTTTGTGTCATCAGCAAAGTTGCTGAGGATACAACCTGCCTCACCATCCAGAACATTTCTCTCTTGATATATGCTCTCTCCAACTATGCCACAACATCCTTCTATAAATCTAGTTAGAGGATATCGCTTTCAGCATGCATCTGTTGCAGAGGATGTTAAGTACTCCACCACTAATACAAAATCTCACTCCATTGTGTATTTCCAAAGCATCAAAGGAGTGACCCAGCATTTTTTATGTTCTTTTGAGAAAGCATAATTTTCAATTTCTTTCCCTTTTACAACTAAAAAAGAGGAGCAAACCAAAACCACAGGCATTAGCTTCCACTTTGGATCTAAATCCCAATTTTCCCCAAAATTTACAGACGTTCAGATTCAGAGTTCCACTCCAAATCTATCTTTAACTAAAGTGGCATTTCACTGTTTTAAGAAATGCTGACTTAGTAACACTTACAACCACGTAAACCATATACAGGAGTTCAAATACGTGACTTTCACTGCCACAAGAAACCACTGAACTTAGCAACTGAACAGCTTTCAGCAGCAATGAACCATCCTGTATGGCACCATATGCTGTAAGAGATGCCAAGCACTCTGTTAACTTGCACAGTCCACACATCTGACGCTGCTCAAC